GGGGAATTCCTTTCAGACGTCGTGGCGGGGATGTGTTAAGTAACAATAGTCTGGAATGTGTATAGGGATTGGACATGTGTGGGGGGGGGTACCCCTCGGTCTCATTTCTTGCCGGGTATACTGGAAACCAGACAAATGAGGTAGTCTTATGTCCTTTTTGCATCTATAAGCTGAAAACGCTTTTAAACAGTAAATAGTGAGGGGCCAGTCTATTTCAGTGTTGGCAACGGCGATACGAATGCATAATGCTAATATACAGGGACCGGTAGCTAGCTGGTTTAGGTCCGTAGTTTGCGCGACTGCATTCGCATTTTGCTTTTTTAAAGATATGTTTACCAACAACTTTTCGTTTGCGTGATAGTCGGGCCTAACACATGCCTCACTGGAAAACTTAAGAAGTTTTCCCCTTCAACACTGTGAATAACGTGTACATAACGTGTTTTTATCTACTAGTAGCACTTAGTGCATAATGCAGAACTCAAATCAGCACTTCACGTGCTCATGACATGTGCGAACTGAATGTGGGTGTGTGGGCAGCAGGCCGAGTGTTTAGAATGAGGTATCAAGTGCAATATTGGACCAGTTAGGTTCACCATGTGTCAACCGAGGGAGAGACAAAGATTGTCTCTGAAAACGGTTGCCATTTGTGTTTCATGCGTCCAAATCCTAACTCTTGGAGAAGGGTTGTATTTCTGAAGTGTTTTGAAAAGAAAAAAAAAGGCAAAATGTCTCCCCGATGTGGGATTCGTACACCTGCCCGTTACCCCCTGGGTAAGGCCTTTAATCGAGTGCCACAAAGAGGTTAAAAACCTACCGTTTTTATGATCAAGCCCCAGTAATATTCTGTAATTTGCGTTAGCCCTGAAACCCGTCTGCCAAGATAACGTTGAAAAAAATACCCCGACAATATGGTTCGAGACAGCTACATGTATATGCAGTTAAGCTTAGTGCCTAGAAAACGAGTCAACATTTTATTTTCGTATTTTACAATACGAAAAGAAATTTATTGACGAGGTCTCACTTTATTCTTTGGAATGCCGGTTCTACGTATGTTTTCCAAGACTTGCTGTGGTGCTGGAATTAAGGGTGGTTATCTTTTTATGGGTCAAGTTTCGATATGGGGATGTACTGGATAACAGGCGCTGATAATGTCTGAGCTGAAGGCTATCAGCGTCCATTCTCCGTGAGCCGCTCTTACACGACCCCAGCCAAGCACATATTTATTCCCTGCCATTAAGAACTGTTTGAGTCACGCAGTCAAAGGTAAATTCTGTTTTAAATGATAAATTAGCAACGGTTTTGATCAACAGTTTTACTTCAGCCCTCTACCCGTGTTAAGTTGCTCTTGAGAGTAGTTGAATACAATCTCCTCATTAGAGATTGGCGCGACCGTGGCGCGTACTTTGTGAGGTGCCACACGGCCAGCCGGTGATGTGTACCCACTTAATGGGTCCTCAATTGAATGGCTAACCTGGGTATAGTAAAAGTACACAAAAAACAGTTGAACTTTTCTGATGAAGTACGCATTTTACAACGAGTATTTCCTTTTATCCGGCAGGTGCTTCTCGACCGTCGGTGGACCGGGCGGTAAAATTAACCTGCAGGAGGGTCGCTGCAATCACGTGAGTCACAGGCTGCAGTTGAAAGCCACGGCTGCGGCAACTGCGGCTCTCCATAGACTTTTATGAAGATGTTTCCATGTTTGCCTTGTTACCTGTAGACCCACTGGCAAGAGGAATACAACTTCACTTATTGATGAAAGGGGACAGACTAGTTTTTCCTTCCAGCCTTAGGCTGCATTCAAATCTGTTGTCCAGAGCTATATCTAGGTCTTCGCTCCATTGGAAATGCTCATAGACGCGTAGACAATAGACCTAGCCCGTTTTGGACACAGCCTTATTACATTGCTTTATGATAGAAAAGCAAGATGGCCGCCGTATGACAGAGGTCGATGGATGCGTGCTTCGGCGAAGCTAAGCTGAAGCTATGATCAGATAGCTTCAAGTTCTGCAATGCGCAGGGGAGATCACACTGAACCACTCCTCTCATTCAAACCATCTTTACAGAGCAGATATTTCCCACTGCGGCGTGCCATGATTTCATGCATAATACCATCATCGTCAGTGTTACTCTCATTTCTTCATATACCGCATCGGTAGCTGTCGTCTCTGAATACAAGACGACAACAACTCGCATTTGACCGAAACTATCAAACTCAAGCACAATCATGGAGAAAAACACGTTGAAAGTTTGTGTTGACAATATCAACTTTGTACAGTTCTTGCGGATTAATTCTCGGAACACCGACAGCGGGAACTAGACGCCAGGGGCGGTTGCGTGCCTCCTTTCAAGGAGGCCATTGGAGGCACGAAAAAATTGACCCTCACCAAAAAATCTTGGATCCGCCCTGTTTGGGCTTGTCCCACCACGTACAAACTGTTTACTGTTGCCATCTCAGCAAGATAAACCGAGGTACTATAAACTGGGGCCGGGCGTAGGCAACTCAATTGTTGACAGAGTTTTGCCTTTTTTATAAGAGAATGGGCAATTTCAAAGGGGCATATAGGGCAAAATTTTATTAGCGTCTCAGGAATTACATAGTTCTTCGGTTCCACGGTAGTTCTTCAAAAAATTCCCATATGAATCCCCCACCCTTGAAGGCCTGGATGGTTACGGCACCGTGGGTGACTTGATTTTCATCTGATGGAATTGGACATTTACCTTAGGAAACTTGTTCTTTTTAGTTTCTTCTTCGGAACCGTGCATGAAAAACCTCTTCACTGCCCACTGCACCTCTTGGCTGTTTTCTTGTTCGCAGCTCGGAGTTTGCCTGCATGAGATAGGTCATGCCCTCGGAGCCTACCACGAACATACACGCCCCGACCGCCGTGAACACGTCTCCATCAAGGAGGAGAACATCAGAAATGGTTACGAAGGTAATTTCAAGGTTGTGGACCGTCTCCTCGTCGGGATCTACGATCTGCAGTCCGCCATGCATTATGCGTGTGATGTAAGTCTCGACGTCATCCTAGGGGAATACTAGGCTTGAATGTAAATTTTGTCAAGAACTTGAACTATGTCCCCTGTGTGGGAAATCTGGTTTTCTTCGTTTTCGTTTTGGCTTTTTATGACGAAATAATTATATTGTTAATGGGACGTCTGTTCTTCCCTGTGCTTATTCCTGCAGGCTTTCAGCAAAGATGGCCGCTCGGAAACAATCGTGCCTCATGACGAGTTAATGAAAGAAAAGATGGGCTTGCAGAGGAAACTTTCGCGATTGGATATATATAAATTTAACAAAATGTACAGTTGTTATGGTAAGTAAAGGAAGTGTGCTTCCCAAGGATAAATAATAAACATGGATCCTGCCCCGACCTAATTCGCCCGAGTCAAATTTTAGGGTAAATAAAAGAAATTGGGATTGGAATTCGAGCACAGGTTTTTTCTTCATTACAGAAAATTTAAGGGTTGAGGGGTTACCCACCACTGTAGATAGACAAAGTGTGAAAATCCTGTGAAATGGAAACGGAGAAATGTGGCATCAATTCTAGTCTGATATCTTTGGGGAGTTTACTTTTATAGCGTGTTTGACTTCTGGAGCCTTTGCTTGACCGAAATAAGGGAATCTGTCATTTTGGTGTCCTACAATTTATATTTTCTTCTGATACTTCTTTATCGCTGTCGCTTTGTCAAATGTTAGAGAGTTGTCCCGACGATCTTGAGACAGCATGCAAGCATGGTGGAGTGCCGTCCAAGGACTGCACTTGCCTCTGCCCAGATGAGTACACAGGAATCTACTGTGAAACTTTCAAGAAGACGACGGGTAGGTTGAGACTTGAATCTTCAAGGAAAAACTCATTGGGTCGACTTGCTTGGCACAGCTCAGTAGGAGAGACGAATCTTAGCCAACTACATTATTGTAGGAAATTCTGGGCAAACCTGGTGGCGTAGTTCACGGGCTTCAGCCAGAGCTGTTTATTGAGAACTGCAACATGGAGTGTCTCTGCTGTTTGAACCGAAATGGTTAATTATTCCTTAGTGTACATTGACAGTTAGCACACGATAGCTGCTTGCTGTATTGCACACATAATGAACAGCCATTTGGGTTCCAGTCTGAAGCTGGCGCTACTCTACAGCCATGGCTTCGGCCGGTTCACTGCGAACCCACCACTCTGCCGTGAAGCATGCACTCACAACACCAGGTTTCTGTGCGAGCGCCGGCACCGAACACTAATCACAAGCGTAGTTTTTGTTAACAGCTACGTCTATGAAAATGTGGGGTTTTAATATTGGTCGGTCACTCATGCAAAGGTGGAAAAGAAAAGGCTTTTTAAAGGGGGGGGGCAATTTGTTTTTGGGGGCCGAACTTTGAAATTTCTGAATGTATTAAGTTTTTATGGCCATTATAATGCGTGAGAGGTGTCTACGTGCTTTTTAAAAATGGGGAAAAGAAGAAGTCCCGCAAATCGTGTTTGCCTATATTTTGGGTATTGTGGCCTCTCTTGGCCTCTCTGGATCCATAGGTGCCTTGAAGTTGGAATGCTGCTGTCGCGGAAGGACCAAACGTATAGGCCACAACTTCATACAGGAGGTCCTGTAAAATTGTTCTGTGCTGTAAACTGAGAGGAACTCTGCCATTTTTGTCACAAAATGAAAAAAAAATCGCTCACCTGGCCATCATGCTAAAAGTAACTCATTACATTAGACTGGTTCGACATCTTTCTGCTCCAGAATTTTGATCAGTCTGTTAGCTATATCGTGAACACTGTTGTGAATTGTGTGCGTTCGTTTTGGCCTAAACATGCCTGGTCAACTGCAAGTTACTCTGAACTCCACTCTACTCCGTAGCACCCCCTACTGCACTGAGGTCCCTTTTCAAGGACGAACTTGTCCAAATTGATGCATGACAAACAGCCATGCAGAAACTGGTTCACAATTTTGCCAATTTCGAAAATGGCGTGTAGTGGCGGTTTTACGTTTAACGAAAACTCTCATTTTCCAAGTTTAGCGACGAGTGGTATTCCCTTTTTTCGTCTATGAATGATTTAGAGTGCAGTGCAGAATATAAGGACACATCAGGGATAATCCGGAGCCCTGGATTCACCAGAGGAAGTAGATACCCAAGCAATACCGAATGTGTCTATGCCATTGAGGTGAGTGCAGTCTCCAAAGGGCAGACCCAGAACCACATTTTTAAGGGGCTTATTTTTTATAGTTTATTCATTTAATTGATTGGGGATCTGGAAATTGGTATACGTGATTTTTTAGGGCTTTTCTGAGGAGTGTGGCTACACATTAATTTTTCGAACTTTATTTTTATGTTTTTTTTCTTGTGTATGAAGTGTCCCGAAGGCACCAAGGTTCACCTGACATTCAGAAGCTTCGACATCGAGGGATGGGGCTGCTTCTTCGATACTTTTGAGACGAAAACTGGCCCTGCCGTAGAGGAGGTTTACCCCAACTTGTAAGTGTCACAGAGTAAAGTACCATTTTTAGCAAACCAGTAAACAGGATGTATGCATGTTTCCGCCATTTTGAATTGAAGGCGAGGTAAAACCTTTCATTTTTGGCGTCTGAGAGTAAAGATGAAAGTGGCAGAATTAAAAATCAATTCAAATGCATCCCATTTTTTGATTGAAATCATTTAAACCTTGCGACAACTTACAACAACATGTTTTAAGCCACATTTAACCGATTTGAAAGTGAGGTCTGGAGTCTGACACCACTGCATTTAACAGATTACATTGAATGTGTTAGATGCAGGGAACAAAAAGAAAAAAAATTGCTTCCCGTGGATAAGGCCTGTTGCTGGCTGCCATGGTTTGGATATTTTAGAGCATAACCCAATGCAGATAATTTCGCAATTCTGTCGCAAACGCAATTTGGCCTTGAAAGAGTGATCTCCTCACAATCTGATAATTTGAATACTGCAGGGAAATACTCAGTACCGGGACTTCAAACGGTTTCTCAATACTGAAGCGGCTTCTGAACCAGTAACATAACCTTGATATTGCTGCCCCCGTGATACTTGCTCCTCTCACAGCAACTTTCTTGAATGGGCGGAAAATTCTCTCCAAATTCCATGTTTTTCAGGAGAAGACAAATGAGAGGGAAAGAACAAAGGTTCACAATGCACTTGAAGGGCAGAAATAAACAGCTTTACGGTAAAGCCTCCATGTATTTTTGATTGGCAGGTACTGTGATAAGGCATTGCGCGGAAAGACTTTGACATCGAAGGAAAATTTGGCATTGCTGAAGTTCAATAGCGACTCATACTACAACTATCCTGGATACGAACTGGAATACGTCTGTGAGTAAATCCATACCGGACAGCACTTACCTGACAAGGAACAGTACACAGTTGATGCCGTCTCATGAAAGCTGAGATTTAGTTGTAGTTTGCACGCCGTTTAGTTGCCTCTTAGCTTATTGGAACAAAGCATCTTATTCCACATTTCTGCACTTAAAATTGTCATTAATTGAAATATTACCATAAATGTTGGTCCCCAAAAGATTGAGGAGAACTTGTAATTCCAGAAAAAAGTAGTTCATATCGTCATCAATATGATTATCAGTGTATAGTGTCCAGATGTATAAAAAAAACCCTAAAATACAAATGGTAGCATGGTTGGAATATAATGAAGTTGACGTGTGATAATTTAGGTTTTAAACACAACCTTAAAATCTATAATATCATAAGATTTAATTTTTTGCAAACAATACTCATTGCTGGTGTGGGAATGGATGTACTGAGGATCTGCACCCTTCTAGTTTGAGAATGGATAAGCGCGTTTTACTGACGGAATCGTCCCAACTAAACGATCCAAGAAGATATGCGTTTGGACACCATCACAGGTACTTCACAACAGTTATAAAAGTTCTCCGAGATGTTTAAATCAAAATTGTTTCTAGTTAATCCATATCATAGGGCGATCTTACATTAAATGCAAGTCCTGTTCAGAGAGTGTTCAGAGCAACAGATAGATGCAGAAAGGGGAGTGGCGTAGCGAAGGCATTTTCTTTTTTTTTGGGGGGGGGTGCCAACTTGTAACTTGTTCGCCAACCTCGTGTCGTGTGAAATTTACAAAGTGATCCATGGTACGCTACATTTCATGCTTCAGGGAGAATGCCGACGGCCAATTTTGGATTCATATGCCGACCGAAGATCTATTTGCTGATTGGAATTGGAGGGGGGGGTTGCTGCACCCTCACGCCCCACGGTTGCTACGTCCCTGAGAAAGGTCATTTTAGGTCTTTTCCCGCATTTATTTTTACGAACTCACAGACACATTCTTTTTCTCCATTGATTCACCCGCTTAAATAAGCTCGTCGGTACGGGGATGGGCGTCTCAGCATGGACTGAAGTAAAAAGTAATATTTTGGAAAATCTTGTATAAAAATGTGCTTCACATAATTAAGATCAGGAAATGATTAAATACACCTGATTAAAACGGTAGCTTTGCCGTAGAAAAATATATGTCTGCACATCAGGAAGATTGCTTACCTTGCTTATGTCATTTCTGTGTTGTCATAACACTTGTATTTTATAGCAACTTACAAGAAAGGCTTGCGAAAGAAAGAACATTTGCAGCTATATTTTTCGAACCAAATCTGCGAAGAAGAACAGGACCACTACTTTGGTTGGTTAATGGCATTTAAATGCCTTCAATTTTGGTGAAGGAACCCGCGTCTTGCTTCAAGAAAGGTATTCCGGAAAACACACCCCAGATCAGTGTAGTGACACCGCCGACGGCCCCTCTATCGTTGTGTTTTTAAACACGTATTTTACAGCGGTGCCGGTATGTTACAGCGTGGCAGTCGAAATAAGCATGGGGAGTCGTTAGCCTGATTCGGGTGACCACTCGGCGAGTGGGATTCTAAAGGAGCACACATGTACGTTTACATTATATTCATTATATTTTCTCAGCCATAGATTAAAAAAAAATGGGTTGGGGACTCCCTCGCCCAACAGTTACCTGATTTTGCCGACAAGAAAGAGAATCGACTTTCACCATGTACTCTAACCCGATCGCCGCCCCTCGTTTAAAGGCCTAGTAAGACCTTTGCACCGAATCGGCCAACCCCAGGCCCAATCCCCTCTACTTGGTTTCTTAGCTGGTTATGCATTTTTCAAATAACAATTCGCAGACCCCTCAGCTTTGCATGTTAGTGGTCTGCATAAAGGTCTTAATTGGCGCAATATGTCCCATTTTTGAAGGATTATGGCTTCGTATTAAAGAAGTCTCACCCATTGTCATAGAGCTCTGAAATGAACTAAATTAAAGGTATGACTAAATTGAATAATACAGAGAACAAGCCCTACACTGCTCCTTAGTCGTCACAAATGTAATAAATATGAAATTGAAATTTTCATTGTATGCCAATATGGTCAAAAATGCTAGATAACATAATTATAGTCCTGCTCCCCCAAATGATAGAATGATGCAAACGATAGCCAGCCAGCTGTTACAAACCAACCAAGATCTCACAGACTTGGACTACACTCATATCATTGTAATCAGTCAAGTAATAACGCAGCAAATAGCCAAAATCAAGATTGTCCTGATCACGCGTTGTTTACCAAGACGGCTGGCTCTGACCAGCTTTGTCCGGCGTCAACTTTGCGTGTTTGGAAGCAGTTTTTGTTTCGTTCGCGTGTTGAGGCTGCTTTTCAGTTCTGCTGCTCTGTCCTTTTTGCTTCGCTTCCAATTATTGGGGCCAGTGTCTCGTCGTAACTATCGATCTTGTGGCGAACTTAACAAATAAGAACGTAAGTAACAAAACTTCAATTAATACAGGTGTTTAAAAAGCCATCATTTATTAACGGTAACTTGGGATATAAGAAAAGAATAGTTGAACATTATGAAACTCATTCTGAAACTGAACTTTATCAAGAAGTGGAGACTTGATCAGACAGGCCGCACCTCGGGTACTGCAGTTTCCGCTGATTTTAAAAGAAGGTCGATTTCCTTCCTTTGACAGGATCAGCATTTGATAACTAAGCATGCCTATAGTGCAGATACACACCAACTTAAGCGCTGATGCCCTGCCGCCTGAATTCCGTGTCAAATTAGTGGAGATGTTCGCCTCCATTTTCAAGCTTTCTCAGCATGTAGGTATCATATTATATGTTTTATATGTGTAGCCTTTCGAGCATGTTTGTAATGGGAAAAGAGGGGATTGCGTTGTCCATTACCGAATCTTTTAGACAATTTTCATCTGGTTCCTGGGCTCAATTCTGTGATTTCAATATTGGATTTCTGGGGATTTTTGAAGGGGCAATCAATTGAGAGATATATCATCGTATGACAACATTTAGTAACAGTAATATTTTTTGGTAGGCACATTTTCTGGTAGACATAACATGTAAATTTGAATCTGGTGAGAAGTTGGAAGTGGGCCCGGTTGGGGCGCCCAATAACGGAATCCGTAGCGTAACCAGGATAAAGGTATATGGGTGTTGTTTTCCACACGGGCACTTGCCAACTGCAGCTTGTACATATATAGGTTGCATACATTCACGTTTTCAAAGGAGCACCAAGGGGCACAGACCTCCCCTGGGGCAGTCCTCCCTCAGTAATAACATCAGTGCTTAATGGAAAAAAAAGAGTTGTTTTCGTGTTACCTAGTATTCGCTGACCACTTTTTTGCGTCCATTCTGACCAAAACAGCCAACCCCCCAAAAATTAAAAACCAAACCAAACCAAACCAAAACCACTAAACGATCAGTAGCGCAACAGCAGCAGCAGTCCCACAACGACAAATAACTTACAATTATGAGCAACAACCCCCCTACAATGTAACAAAACAATTGTAACAAAACCAGAACCAAAGAGCAGTCTTCCATTTTCTCTGTAATTATGCAAGTCTGTGTTGGTGGGGTTGTCGACTGACGAAAGACTGTACGGAGGGGTGGATGGCTCTGACCCGTTGTTCGTCATGCAAGTCATTAAAGCCGACGGATTCGAAGATGTTGACGAAAACCGGCAAACCATCAAGGCGCTGTTGGGCCTCCTGATTGGAGAGATGGGGGTTCCAGAAAAAAGGTTTGTGGTATACTATTGTGCACAATAAAGGCACACGTGGCAGGTTTTGTCCTCTACAAAAAAACAACGTGCAACACATGACTGACCTATGAATTGAGCAGGCAGTGCATACAGGACGCCCCTGGTACATTAATTAAAACCTTGATAGGGCTGTATTTATCCAAGTGTTTAAAACTGACCGTTTTATAAGTGGCTTTGCTTTAGCTTTTAGTTGGGGGTAGTTAAACACCACAGCACAGTCCAGGAAATCAGATTTTTTTTCATTCGCTTGCACAGGCATTTTTAAATCCTCCATCCGTGGGCCCCTAACGGAACCAAGAGAGGGCGCCATTTGTATAGCAAAGACGCTCCTTTGGTGGGAAATGCACTTTGTTGGTTCATGAACGACTACGAATGCATGTGTTTCGGTCGTATGGCTACAAACAAGGTGAACACTCCCCACCAATGTGAATCTTTTCAACAGATGAGGGGGTGCTTCTGCTCAAGGCGGAGAGGTCTACATGCATTATACCCTAGGCCGCTTTGATTTTATTCTACCATCACCCCCAATCGATGCTGGGTGCCTTTACCAGTTGTACTAATCCGTCATTTTCTTTCTTGCATTCTAATGGCTGCAGCATTCGCATCATTCTGCTCAACGTTCCTTCCACTCGCATCGGCATTTCGGCAGGATTGCTGACTGACGTCATTAAGGAACGCCAAAAAGCAAGTGGTACCAAACAACCGTCGCAAGATTAGATCGACACATATGAGTGTCAATCCAGAAGATATATTCCTTCTGATAGATATATTTTTTTAAAATACGATGGAAAATAAAATCAATTACTGCAGTTTTTTGTGCCGACACAAAAAAGTTACTATGCATGTAATCATATAATTTATAGATCAATAAAATGGTAACTCGATAACACATCAGCATAAAATTTAGTACTGGTCTCAGAAAATTAAGTCATACGTACAAATTGATTAGTGTGCCTATGTAAACCCTTTTCAACGTCCGCGACGCATTGTGGGTTTGGATATAAGAAAGGTATTTCGTGCTTTACCCTATGGAAAACGTGTGCCTGCAAACCAATCTACCTTTCATTCCATTACATACTCTGATTCAAGCCATGCTTATTTTACACAGTGTTGCATTGTGGACTTGGGATAAAGATATGAAACGTCAAATTGAAAGGCTAATCAGAAAAAAAATTCAAGAAATTCCTTCAAAGAGCATCAGCTTATGTCTCGGACTAAGATTATGAATATTGAAAACCTTGTACTGGCCAATCAGAAATAGGACTTGAAGTTTATTTCTGCCGCATCTACCAATCACATTCACTTTCCAGTTTAAATTGACCAGTGCCATTTGGAAAAGGCAATTACGGACGAATTCTTTCCTCCTACAAATTGTGAAAATGAATTCGTTATTTGGAAATATAGTTTCTTTCCAAGCGAGTCACTTTGATATAATGAGCTGGCTTAAGGAGTCACGCTCACTCGCCGCCGGGTTTTAAGAAAGATTGTGAAGAAAATTGTAAATTGATTTCTGACAGGTTTACTCCCCCATAGGTTTGTGCGTAAAATGCATGGCTTGTTTGCCATCCAAACCTCAAAAAGTACTGCTAACGTGGAAAAGGTTTAAGATGCTTTTCACAATTTGGAGGACTTTTCACCGAAGTAATGTCGACCATTTCAGTAAGTACCAATTTTAAGGAGCCAACCAAACCCAAATTCGTCGTGTATATTATTACACTTTAACGGCTGGTATGCGTCAAAAGAGGGCGCTTTCAAGTGAATCACATGAAATGATGCACTACGTCATGCGCGAGTGAGGCTATGTTGTCTTGAGCTAGGTCTAGGTTTGGCTCCATTGGAAATGCGTAGACAATAGACCTAGCCGTAGCTCTGGAAGCTCGTTTCGGACGCAAAACTCACGCTGCGTCGAAAACCCGTAATTTACAGAACACGTGCACGGCCGGATGCATGTATGCGTACCGACGACGGACAGGCGCTAGGCACACTGCAAACCGAAGATTATATAGCAAGATGGGTAATTCGGCCATGAAGGTGTTACCACCAGGGGCGCCATTCGAATGTGAACGTTAATGTTTGTGCGTGCCTGTCGCGGCGCCTGCGTCTGCGCATTAACATGCACTGCGCCGGCGTAGTCCAACCAGAATGGCGCCCATGTGATAACAACATTTACGCGTATTAATATTCATGGTGAAGTTCCCCATCTTCCGCCGCTACGCGGCGCTATACGATCTTTGCTGCAAAGCGTGAACACGTGGGTGCGGTGGCACACGTGCATGTTCTCTAGTGCAGGCTGAGCGCGTGTTGGTCGCTTTATTTAATCGTTTTTTTCCGCGACTTTATGTATCATCATGACAACACGTAAGAAATTAGTCTCTGAGGCGTGATATGGAGTAAGTACAATGTATTTTGCTTTTATTATAATGATCTTAATCTTGACTAGCATACTGCACAAATCGCCCCAGACATGCTAGATGTGGCTGTTAACGTGCAGTCCCTCATGCATCGCCCCCATTACTAAGATATTATCTAACATTGCCTTGAACATTTTCACATCTGGTGCTGATTTAATTACAGATGGCAAGGCATTCCACTCAGGAATAGTACGAGGATACAGTGACTTCCTGTAGCAGTCCTTGGGGGATCTTATAGTTCAAAGTATGAGCTGCATGTGTAGTCTGTTCACCTTGATTAGTGCGCAGATGACTAATATTTTGTGGAATAAGCCTGTGAGCTTCCTTGCAAAGAGTGGTCAGTCTTGCCTTCCGTCTTCATACATGTTTCCAGGGTTTCCCATTTAAGTTCTGAAATCATATCTGTGACCGTGCTGGTTCTATTTTTTCACACTTGGGCCAATACTTTATTGTAGTCCTTGAGACCATGGAGAAAGGAAAAGGCCATGTTGGGACTAATCCTAGGAGTAGGATCAACACTAGGCACACTCACTGGCTACAGTACATACATGTACATGTGCATGGCCCATTTCTGTGAAAATGACATGAGTAACTTTAGTAGGCCTACATGCATTTGCCCTCTTAGATTTTGCACACATCTTGCAAATTGTTTATCCCTCCCAAGCAAGTCATTGGGTGGGATGACGTGCTCACCAGCCTAATACTTGGCTATCCCAAATGATATAAGTCCAACAACATTAACAATGAAGGACCAAAATAAATTTGTCTAGTGCTTGTCCAACTTCACTTTGGCATGCTGTGTATGTTTGAATTTTTAAAATGATATTTGATTTGACTGCACTTGCTGAACCGAGAGGTATTACTTTGTACCTTACCATTCAGGAAGTAACACGACTGCATCAGGATGATGAAGATCAGTTAATAATAGTTTGAACAACTTAGACTCTACGAATTGCCTTTTTAAAGATTTGGATATGGTCCGGCGAAACATGGCACACACTGTATACTCATCAGTGTGAAGTCACCAACTCTGTCTGGAATCAACTCCCTCCGATTGGTCCCGAGTCAACTCGCTCTCGTCAACTCCTGAAGGCAGGCACATGGCTGCAGCATGAATAAAAATCTTCCAAGCAAGTTCTGCGACACTTTATTACTCCTGTATTAAAGTACACATATTTCCAGAATTCTGAAATAGCATACATGTACAGTACTGTTCACGTAAATTTACTGCCAGGCACTTGGATGCATCATTAATTACCACAGATGAGAAGGTAAAATCCCAGTCTTTCTTCCTAGACTGACAAACTTTGTTATGTACATATTTCCAGGTTTCTAACAATGCATGTACACTGCATTTAAACATACCTGTACATGTATAGTCCTATACTGACATGTGCAGCTAATACGCAACGCCCTTGGCTGGTTCCCTGTCTAGTCACACACTGCTTGTTGCAAATCATTGGTAGAGTGGCTCGCACTTTGTGACATACACTAAAGTGACGAAACAGCCGTCAGTTTTGTGCAAGTGGGGCAAAGTTCGTCCGGAGTGGGAAAATGGCGACAAAAAGGTAACATCTTTTCAAACGAGGAAAAGGCTAGTTTTCTGCAATTAGCAACCTAGTGGATTGTTTACCCAGTAAGTAGTGAACATACCGGTGCAATTTCAGATCCTAAAATCAAGTGGATGGTTAGTTATGCCCCCAGATATCCCGGATAAGTTATTCGAATGAAATCCCTATGGACTGTGACAGGGCTTAGTATATGATTGAGGAGTATACGTTGGGCCCTGTTTACGGGTCTCCGTTTTGTTACAATCCCAGTTTACCCCAATCCTTTTGTGTCTCCCCGAAAAGGTACGTGTGGAATTTACGCACTTTTTAAAAACCTATAAAAGACTCCGTAGTCATTAGTTTCGTTCTCAGTCAGTGCCTACATGTATATGCTCTTGGCATGTGCTTTCCAAAATGGCCAGCATTGGGTCAGCACCTCTGTATTGTCTTCTCCTCTTCTCGGTGGCAGAGGCTGACACCGCTGTGGGACCGTGGACCCTGGAGTGTTGTGGCTCCATGCTGAAGCTGAATTTCGAGGACCGACACCAAACTACCTGTCTGAGCTGGGCTGTTCTGTTGCGGGATGTGGAGTAGCCCCACAAATAGGGCTGTAATGGCTCTCTTTTACAATCTGTCTCTCTGTCGCCACCACAGCCCTACTTCAAGGCACGTCTTAAATGCCTGAAATCCAAACTGCAGGATTGTCACAAACTTTGAATCCTAATATCTTCTGAAATGAGAATGACTTGACAATTTTACTTACTCCAGCGTATTCCTCCAAGTTTGGACTTTTATATGAGCACCTTAAAGCTTTCCCAAACCGTATATTTTCTGATGTATGGCGCCTTGAAAAACCCGGCCTGTAGTATTACATGCTGACCATGGGCAGCGCCATTTTGCAAAACAAAAGCAGCGCTTCTTGCGTCGGATTTCAAGGTACCCGACAGGCACTCTGGTATACGTTGTACCATACAAAACTGGTTCCCCATCATACCTTGTGTGAAAGACAAACAGGGAACTGGTAAAATTGAATTTGAATAACACTAATATGCAGGTAACTGTATCATGCTCCACACACGTGCTGTGGGCAGACTGTACACCAGCAAAGTGCGTGCCCAACTTATTACTAAGCAGTACTGTGACAACATGAATTATGCATCTACGGCACCTCTCGGGTGCCCTGCTACCGACAAACGAAGCGCTGCTTTCGTTTTTTCAAAATAGTGCCGTCCTTGGTCAGCATGTAATACTACAGGCAGGGTTTTTCAAGGTGCCACACATCGGAAAATTTACCATTTTGGAAAGCTTTAGGGTGCTTGTATGAAAGTCCAAACTCTGAGGAATACGCCAGTTAAGTAAAATTTCAAGTCATTCTCATTTCAGAAGATATAGGATTCAAAGTTTGTGACAATCCTGCAGTTTGGATTTCAGGCATTTAAGACATGCCTTGAGGTAGGGCTGTGGTGGCGACAGAGAGACAGATTGTAAAAGAGAGCCACTACAGCCCTATTTGTGGGGCTAGGTGTGGAAGTGCTTGGCCTGACAACTGTACTCCTTTAGCCATGGTGCTGACTGTGCGGGGCCTCATTTTACTCTTTCTTGTGTTGGCTCCTTAAGGTAATTAATGCTCGGCCGAATATAATTTGCCTCTGTCCATTAATGATTTTGATGATAATTGTGCTTGGCTTGCTAATGTAAATATGTTTGTTTTTATGCTTTTGCTTGTCCAAATTTACGGTGTTTTTGCATGAGAAATTTAAGTTGCAAAAAACACTAGATTTACTTTGCTTTAACTTACTATTTTGCTGGTTTAAGTTTATAATTAAATGTTATTCCAAATTAGTTCCTTTGTTGTCCTTTGACCGTATTTTAGTGTCCTTGTTCCCGTCTTTTGATTTTCTTCTGCCGTGCGCTCTCCGTACGTAACACTTTCAATAGGCCTACATCCATGATCATGTAGGCTTACCTAGGCCTGCATCATACATGACAAAAATGTTGAGTTCACACATTGCTACTGTCACTGTGTACTATACTGAGTTCCAAAGCCTTTGCAATTACATCAATCAGGTCTATTGACCTGATTTCTATTTTTAATTTTTTATGAAGTGCAAAATGAACACTTTGAAAATGTACCCACGATGAAGAAAGTAACTACTAACTTCGCAGCGATGCATGAAGAAAGTTAAGGAAACTTCAAAGAGTGGCATGTTAGAGATTCAACTTCATTTAGGGCCAGGCTAGTGGACTATACCTCTGTATATGTGGCCCTACTCCTAGAAACAAGTTGAGGAAGGATTAAACATTGGGATAAAGCTCCGCTGCTGTGAACGGTATCGGCCACATAAAGGTATTTCTCAATTGCCCTTTTGATTAATTCACCCAGCAGTTTATCGTGTTCAATTTGCCCAAATGGCATATTCCTGACCATTATGCCTGTTGGTGATTACTTGTCATCTTGATACCTTAATTTTGTTACAACTGTGATTTGCTCAAGATCTTCACTGGTAGTGAACGTGTACAACTCCAGACACCAGCAGTTGTAGTGATCTCTGAGAACGTTAACCCTAACCCCTGAAGCCCTTTTTGCTAGGGACCCCCCTCAATCCTTCAGAATCCTCCAATTTTTGGGGTGAAAAAATTAGATTCTCCCTCAATCCTCCGAAATCCTCCAAAATTTCATGAAAATGTTACCCTGTGTGCCTACAGCCTCAATCCTTCAAAAGCTGGCAATTCGTGTCATTATGTTGAGGCAGTGCAAATGACATTCTTGAGCAGTGCAGTTAATTCAAAAGAAATATTGGGCTGAATAAATTCATGACGGAGGAAGAACAACACAAGGTCAAACCCATGACATTCAGTCATGGCATCCTTTGCAATCAGCCATACACTTTTGCCATTCACCCTCAATCCTCCAAAACAGCCCAAAGGATTTTGGAAGAGTGAGCTAGGAGGGTAAGGGTTAATTACTGCACACCACATTAGGTGCGTTGCACTAGCATCTATTATGTGTTTGAATGAATCTATTTTTAACATAAGAGTTGCTCCCCTTAGGCTTTCATGCCTGTAAAAGTATGTGGTATACCAGAACAGTTATAGCAAAAAGTTTAGGACCACTCTACAAAATGCATCAACCAAAGAAAAACCAAACTTAAACCGATCAATCATGGCAACTTATGTTTATGTTCAATGTGTAACCTTAGTATCTTGGTTACACAGCTATTTCACTGCATTTGCATGATTTGAAATGTTAACAGTCTAATGTTTAGTGTGCCCTCCTTTTTTCTGATTATTTTTTTTTACCCCCGCTGCCTTACAGACAAAATGTCATACAAGACCTGCCCTTGCCAAAAATTTTATTCAATTGAGTGTACAGATAGCACTACTTCAGTGATGTTATGCTTTATTCAGTGAGACAATGTTATGCAGGCCCAGTGACAGAAATACCAATAAAATTCCACTGTGGTCTTGAACTTTTGCAAATGACTGTAGTTTAGAGTTCCCCTTCCTTGCATTTGGCCACATACATGTAATGTGACCATGATACTCAGTAAAGCAGATCAGCAGAGACAAGTCAACTTAAATGTCATGTATTGTTCCACATAACTGGAGTGTGGTTTTCTGCTTGAGTCCTGTCTGCTAGAGTCAGTGATTGAAGTCTCATAAGTTCTGTTTGACACACTGACTGTGCTGATGAATGCTAAAAAAGCCGGGTTATTTTGGACCATGTGACTTGTTGCAGCTTGCACTGTGACTCGGCAGTCCCCTGCTTCATTTTGTAAAAAATTAGGTACACTCAATCCAACATACTTTCCTGAAGTTCAAGACGCACACACTGTATGTGCCGGCCCACCTACGTGTACATGTACATGGACATTGAGCACGGCAGTGGAGAGGTATAAAGTTTTGGCTGATCTGTGATTCCACAGCCTCCCCCAGCTCTTTTTTGGTTAAATTTTAGTTCATAGTTTCCAAGTCTTACTTAATTTTTCAGTTTGGTCTTTTTTTTAAGGGTTGATTTTTTTTGGGGGGGGGTTGATACTTACATGTAGAATTGGTGTGTGAAACCCTATTGATTCAGTTCCTTGCAACTTTGCCGTTGAAGATTCTTCAGTTAGTTTGAGTTTCTCTTATTGTGATAGCTTGCTATTTTTCCAGGTCTGCCTTGTACATGTAATCGAATGCACCCTATACGCTTGCATTACATTGGCACACTTAGATGCTGGACCCCACGCCACCTGCATACATACCTGGCACCTGGCAATCAGGTGACAGATGACTGGATGTTGGAGACATGTAAGTCTGGATATGACATCATGCTCATGCACAAGTACATGTAATGCTAACCCTTCTGATTTGATCGCAATTAGGCAGCTGAGGTGGCTTCACCCTCCACCCATGAAAGGGAAGAAAAGAGCAGAAGAAATTTTTGAAGGGGGGAGGAGGACTGCGTGGGGTAGAAAGCGATGGAAGGTGTTATGTCAATGTGTGTGTGGGAGGGGGGAGATAACCTTTCCTCTATACAGTCAGGAAGATCAGACATAAATTGAATATTGTACCTGCTTCAGCTGCAAATCTTGCCTTATTTAAAATAAAGTTGAAGTTACCACTTGGTGCAGCCAGCAAAAAAATGTACGGTTCTGTTAAGTTCTGTTGTCGTAGAGAACTACATTGTAAATGAAAACCTAAAGAGACTGCACAGTACTGGATGTTACCACTTTGTAGACATGATGACAAATACTTTCTGGCTGAGAACATAACCGACGGTAAACCTGTCTTGAAGTATAATTTCCCCCAAAATTTACTGACAAAAGCCCTAATTTTGAATCTTTGAACTGGTTTTTTTTGCAGTTCCTTAAAGATAACAATATGAAAAAGAATATTTGTCTTGTGTTGGTGAATAAGTTAAATCATTTTATGATTATTTTAATTTCACAGATCGAGCCCCTTATTGTCATAATATCTGCACTCTTGGAACATTGATGAAGGTCCAAGCAAGACGGTCAGATTGTGGAATCAAAGAGGGCCAGCAGTCTACAACCTATAGAAGAGGAGTTTAAAAAAATGGTGAAAACTGCATGTATCACATTGAAAATACTGACCTTGACCCTAACCCTGCCAGATGCAGCATACTGCAGCAGATGTAAAAGTCTGATGCACTATAGCCGTGTTCCCATTGGCCTTTGTCTTCCGTGGGCACGCGGAAATTTACTGTGGCATTCCTTCCTGTCAATCTACTGCGCATTCCCACATGGACAACCGTAGCGGAACATTTATTTGCTCTGTTAGGCCTAATAAGACCAGCTGATTACACTGCCTGCGCTGTACAAATCATGATGGAATTGGCAAAATCTGACAAAAACAAAGATAAAATCAGACAAATTCGACCAAATCTGCCACAAAGACGACAAACTCCTACAGGAAAAGCTGGACACAATGTGTGTATAGCTTTATCCTGGCACGCCTCACTGTCTGTGCACGACATGCTGCTGTACTTATGGAGCTGGAGGCTTGGGACCATACAACCCTTTTTTTTATGTAAGCAGTAGTCTGGCTTGTATGTTCAGCATGGTCACGGTCAATCTACATTGTATGGAAACTGTTCCCATTGGACTTTTTGCACCCCTGCGAACTTACTGTGGCTGCGCGGAAATCTTCTGCGATCCTTTTTGGCCCCTTAGTTTTACATTGTGATAGCGGTAAGTTGACAGGGACTTTAGTTTACCGTATGTTCCCATTGGATTTAATTTTGTAATTCTGCAGGAAAGTTGTGGTAAGTTAACCAAAAAAGTCCAGTACGAACACGCCTTCTGATGCACTGGTCGAATTAACAGCAGCCAAACAAACTGGTGATGTTGAAACAATGGGATCTTGTACATGTGGTGGCTGGCAATCACAGACTCTCAGCCGTTTGGCGGGGGGGGTAGTTGACCTGTAGGATCTTGTTACACTGGGCAAGCAAATTACTTTGACAAATGATGCAGACTGATGTGTCTGGCAGGGTTTCTAGCCAAACAACCCTGAACAGTTAGGGTTATATATGGTGCTTGTTTTAATTATGAAAATGGCTTTCATATTAATTGACAGAAATGAGGCCTTTCTATTTCTCCAGTCCAGTTAACTTTTTTTTTTATTGTTAGAGCACTTGCTGTCAAGTGGATAAAAGCAGAGATGGTAGTGAGAGTGGAAGAAACGTGCTGTCCATCCAGGACAAGTCTGTTCTGCAGGGACTGTAAGTTATCTTTTCAAGTATTAAAGATGATGTTGAGGCCATACATTGATGCCACAGACAAATGCACAAAGCAACGTCAAAGCAATATTGAAGATTTCAAGTAAAGACACTTTCAGGTTTCACAACTTAACAATCACCATTGTGCAGTTGATTGTGTGAGTTCATTTGACCCTAAAAGAACCAGGGAGTAGAATCTGCCCCCTCAGGATTTTCTCTGATGTCGCCACAGTACAGTAGTCAAGCCTTCAGGAGTTTTTCAGAAACTCTTTTGTGTTCTTTTTGACACCGATTCTGTGTAAAATCGCACATACATGTACATGTAACTTTTTCGTTACAAGCACCTCTTTTTCCTGAAAGAAAAAGCCTCCCCCCCAAAAAAGTAAGTCTGGTCCAAGCCAATTTGGCTCATCAGGCCAATCTTTATTGCGGTTTCCTCGGCATAAAATGACTGAGAATATTTCTGTTCCCCCTTGGAAGGGATGCCAGTCCATCAAAAGTTGCTTCCCAGCTAATGCTTGTGCCCATTTATACTCCAGGGTGGAGAGAGGCAAGCAGGGGTGAAGAGGCTTGCCAAGGGCCACAACATACTGCCAGCAACTGGATTTGAACCTCCAACCCTATGATTGGAAACCATAGTCCCTTACCACTTGGCCACACGAAAGAGGTCAGCCTTTTCCATTTTTGTACGAGCCAAGCCTTTAGTTTCATATTGCAGCTTTGTACAGTGACTTTGACAGCAGTTCATCACACATACTGTTCTCATGCAACACCCTATTTCCCGAAACAGGTCAACCCAAAAAAGGTACCCGCACTTTCAACTGCTGTGCTGAGTGCAAACGGTGGCTGAAACGCTTGTGACCATGTTAACTATAAGTTGACTGGTGGCATTCCCAAAGGTACAAAGGCTGGGCTGCTGATTTTTTTAGCCTACATTAACAATGCAGCAAATGATGCCCAAAATATGTGCTGAAAGTATATGGACGACTTGACTCTCGGTGAAAATAGACTCATCAGTGAAGCTAGTAAGGTACAGAATGATCTTAACAATCTGAGTAAATGGGCCGTTGAGAATGGGCTTTCCCTTTACCCATCCAAATGTAACTTCATGCAGATTTACTTCGGTAGACAGGAACTTCCTAACACACAATTTCATATAGCTGGTGCTCCTCTTGATCAAGTTCAGCCTTCTGGGTGTTACATTACAGCATAACTTGAAATGGGATAGTCACCTAACGGACATCGCTAGCAAAGCATACTTAGCTCCCTTGTGGCACTCTGAAATTACATGTTCTTAATCTGGTAACTTAGAATCGATCCAGAAAAGGGTATGTCGCATCATACTTGACCAATTCTACACTTGTTATGACCAGGCCTTCAATGTCCTCGGACTTGAAACACTTGTTAGTAGAAGAAGTGATCTGTGTCCTAAATTTGCTCTAAATACTTTTAATTCTGATAGACTTAATGCATTTAATAAATCCCAAAGTAACCACAGGATGAACCTCAGATCAAATAGAATTCTTCAAGAATTCACCTGCAAAACTAAACACTTCAGCAACAGCCCACTCCCTTATTTCACAAAACTTATTTTTAACTCCTGTCATCTGTCTCCTATGTTTTGTCTTGTAACCCCTGTCACCTTTATGTGTTTTTCTTCTTCGCTTGAAATGTCTTTTATATTTTTTTTGTAAATTGAAATTTAAGCTTATCCGTGTATGCTGTTCAATTTTTTTTAAAAATCTATGAAGCCCTTTTAAATTCTGTTGTAAAACTGTACTGCAATTCAGCCCTTGGGCTGCTATTGGCCGTGTGCATTAAATAAACCACCAATAATAAGAATAATGAAAACAGTTGTATGTCAGATTGATTTGAAAATCACATCTGTATTGATAAGGAGTGTTTTACGTGCACACCGAGTGTTGAAAAAAATCGGGATTGAAGACGGCCAATATCTTGATTGTGAGATGATACAAAATAACCCGGCAACTTCAGGGTTAACACTGAAATAAAATTGACAGAGCTTTATTTCATTGATTGGTTTGTCCTAGATATCCTGGCAGAAGGAGTTTTCGTTATGGTTGCTGCATCAGAGGCTCCGCTGTAAAATGCTGACCAGTCATAGAGGGCGCTATTACCACTCCATGAAACCTACTACACTGTACATTATACAATGGTAATGGAAAGATTAAAGGAAAAAAGAACTGAACACTGCCTTAATTGCACCATGGTAATGGAAAGAGGAAAACACGAAGTGAATGCTACCTGATGATTCCCTGATATACATCACAGCAGTAGCGCCCTCACTCACCCAGAAAAGCTGACAAATTGTAATGTTTGTAGCAAGATAGAGAAAATTGTAAATATTCTCTAAATTGAAAAATTCAGAGGACCTGACGTTTCAATACTAGCAGAATTTTCTCCAAGTTATGTGCTCAGGTTTCAACCAATACAGTTAAATTTGTAGTGACAGGTACATGATATAAAACTGAACGTTTGGAAGTGAAAATATAGAAAGGTTTGCGAATATATGTTTGACCTCAAATAGAGTGAAATACAAGCAAAGTCTGAATATTTTGTGTGCTTTTAACATTTAAATTTGTTATTTAAATACATGCAAATCTGCTGTGCCCTCTAACCTTTTTTGAAATTGCGCAATCCTAACCTTTAAATATAAGTTCCGAAATCATATACCTTAAGAGGCCTATGGCCTGGTGGTTAGCTTGCTTGCCTCCAGGCCAGGGGACCCCGGTTCAAATCCTGGGGTCCCCGGGAAAAGAAGGTTTTTTTTTTTTTTTTTTTTTTTTACT